AGGGTAAACGTACGCTTTATAGATTGTTTGGGTGGGTTCTTTTTAATTAATGACATAACAACACGTCTATGGGTTATTTAAGGCCGAGAGCTAAATAATTTCTACGCAATTTTATTTTATTTACATTTTTTCGGAGAAAATAATAATAGTTTTAATGATACAAGTTTTAGTATTTAACCTATAGTTAAGGGGCGAGCGAGATGAGGTGGATTCATACCTGACACAAGGTTATTTGCGCGTAAGTAAATAAAACGAATCCAAATTGACTCCAATTAACAATTCCGAGCCATTATCTATTATACCACCTGCATATCCACGTTTACAGCAGTAGGTATTCGCAACCGGTTACCCATTTAAGTACTGACCAAGTTCGACGTTGCTTAAGTTTCAACGTGATGTAACCTTAAAATAAAAATTTTGTGTGATTTAGTGACAGACCTTAAAGTATTTCAATATGTTTTTTTTTTTAATTATCACTTATTACCGAATTTTTTTCTGAAATGCATAATTATGAGAGCAGATATTGTCCAGTGTCATCGGAGTGGGGATGCTTTATTTCAAACTCAGTGAAATTCAGCGTATTTTTGTACGCGTGTGTTTACATATACGTAAAATGGCGCAAACACATATAAGTCAAACACGCACAGTACAAACATCCGCGCATCCAAACTCAGATGCAGACAGTAGCAGTATAACAAAGTCAGTCAACATTCTTTCATGATACAGATTTTTATTAATTATAATCTGTATCTATGCTATTTTTTCGGAATTTTTCTGGATGAGAATATACTATTACTTACACTATATTCAGACTATTGTCCTCATCTTTGTTGTTTTTATCACAACGTTTCGGCCGTTGTGCACTCCGGCCTTCTTCAGATGTATATCGAGCTGGGTAAACAATAAGAAATTCCAAATTGAACCCTTTATTATTTACACTACTTATATTCGGACTACTGACCACATCTTTGTTGTTTTTATCAGAATGTTTCGGCTGTTGTACTCTCCGACCATCGTCGGCTGTATATCGATCTGTTTAATCTCCCCGGATAAACTGATCTCGTTCCACTGATCCTATCTACGGATCTTGTTTAGTTCTTATTTTATTTCCTACTGTTCCGTTATTGTTCGCCCGTTTTCACTGAGTGCAAGTACACAATGCCAAACACAGGGATTGAACTCACAACCACTATGTCAGAAAATTCACAGACCAACGCTTTTACCCACAAAGCATTAGTTTGTGAAGAGAAAGCAATGAGGAAAATGTATGGATCGTTCTTTAACCGCTAGATCGTTAAAAATCAAATTTGCGTCCAGTTCCTTAAAACATTTCACCTTTCTTGACAGATCTTCTATTATGACAACGTTGGAGACATAATAGCAAAAGTGATAAAGCCATAGACAAAAATAAACTGAATGAAATGTGCTAGACTGTATACCTAAACACTTATTTGAAGTAACAGAAATAACACTTTAGTCCGATGAAGGCTTTTTTCTACTTTATCATTCTTCTTCTTCTTGTTCTTGTAACGGCATTCACCCGAGGTGGGTTGAGCCGGCTCCAATATTGGAGTTTCATGGGAATTTGGAATTCACAAGCGGCCCCCAACCCGCACGTATAGCACAAGAGATTTGATTATAATGGTGAAGGCCTCGTGCAGGACCATCCACACTTTTTGAATGGCCGATTAGAGAGACCTGGTGCACTACGTGCCACAAGGTCCTCAAACGACACTCCGCAGTTTTTGAATTCAGAGTTTTCCTTCTCCTAGACCAGTTGCCATCCAAGGCTATAGAACCCTGTCTGTCCTGCTATTTACTCATAGCTGGGGGTAGAAGAAGAGGATTCAAACCTTTCCCAAGTGAATGTAATGGATTCGACTGGAATTCGAACTCGGCTCTCCGATACCTCAATCCAAGCCGATATTTATTACTCCACCGTGCCTCCTACACTCCATCTTGCCTCCTACTTTTTCATTAATTTTCCTTATACATACATACATACATACACACACACACACACACACACACACACACACACACACACACACACACACACACATATATATATATATATATATATATATATATATATATATATATATATATATATATATATATATATGAAGAAATATAGTTTTAAGCTGTGCTATGTTTATGGGATAAAGTGCTCAATATCAGAGACAGAGCTTATGCAAAATATAAATATAAAAGTGAACATTGAATTCAACACTCACTTTATAATATTAATGCTCTGTAAATTTATATTGAGCACTATTTTTTAAAAAAATAAAATATCTATAAGAACACCGGATTATATATCTTACTGTTCTTTCTTTCTTTATATTTTCTTTATATATTATATATATATATATATATATATATATATATATATATATATATATATATATATATATATATATATATATATATATATATATAAATTAATTGATTTAGAATGTAGAATATGATTTTTTCGCTGCACAGTTCTAACCATGTTCCAAAAATGGAAGCTAAAATCTCCGAATTTATTTTTGTAATTAAATTAAAGACATTAGTTCCATTTCATCCTCAAGCCATTTTTGGAGTAACTTTTAAAATTATTGGGTTTTAAAGACACAGCTAAAATCATAATTCACGTTTCCAAGGTTACAGAGAAATCCACTTCCACATAAAAAATATCTATAAGAACACTGGATTATATATCTTACTGTTCTTTCTTTTTATATATATATATATATATATATATATATATATATATATATATATATATATGTGTGTGTATATGTGTATGTATGTGTGTGTGTGTGTTTTCTGTTTATACGTTATATTTATAGATACAAATATTTAAGTAAATGCTCTGTTTATAATAAACAGTATTAAAACATTTACCCGACTGAATGTTCCAGAAATTTTATAGAAAATATGTCCTCGATTCCTAACGGTGGACACATATTTTCTATAAAAATATCGCATAAACAGAAAATATTTTAAAATATAGATGTACAATGGGGGAAAACAAATATTCATAGACATACAAATTTTAATTTATTGTAATTTCGACTAAGGAATAAACATAGTTTGCATATAATTAACTGTACACCGATGCATAGTAATTAAATATGACTTGAATTTATAGAAATAAATCCCATGTATGCATTTTAGTGGGTGAAAAAAGTATTCGGACAATACAAAAATATATTCATTTAATACTTTGTAGAATAGCTATTATTCATTTCTTCAGCAACCAGCCTATTCTTGCAGTTCTCAATGATTTGCAAATTTTATTTGATATTTTGTTCCACCGGGTGATCCACATTTTCGACTTTTTGCCATATCTAAGCTGCGCTTCGAAAATCACAAGTACATCGTCGTGGGTGTAATAGCAATCTTGTCTCGAGAGAACAATTACGACTGAGTAGTAAGTTTGATCTGCGCTGGGTGTTCAATACATTCGGCCTTGTGCCAGATCTAAGCTATGCTTAGAAAATCATTATAGGATGCTATGCCTCTTTATTTTGTGTGAATTGCCATCACTTCCTTCGAAAGATTATAGGCACTTCAACATCAAGATTTTTCATGTTAGGTCAATTGCGATTTTGTAGTGAGTTCGATCCTCACTATGGGATCCATATATTCGGCCTTGTGCCACACCTACCTGTTTTTTCCCTCGCACTTCTCGTTTGGGGTATGTCAATCGCAGCTTCATAGTGGTTTTTCGTTTGTTCTCGAATTTTCTTACAATCAGTAAACCTCATTTAAATTATTTTCATTGTTCGGGCTGTTTCCTCATCGTTACTGCCATATTCACGACGTTATGGCCATTGTACGCTTCGGCGTTCTTCAGATGATTGCAGACATCCGGTAGATGCATGGTACATGAAACCAGAACAGTCTAACCCGGTGGACGAAATAAAGGGTTCAGTTCAAAATTCCAGTCACTTGAAGAAGGCCAGAACGTCGTGAATATTGAAATAAAGATGACGTACGTCCTGAGTATGACGATAAACTACATCCGCGTGCAGGGTAAGACGATAAACTACGTCCAACAGCCTCTGATCAGGAGGCTTTGAGGAGCGTGGAACCACTACTTAATTGCTAGTGTTCCCAAGTCCACCCTGACTCGGAGTGGTAGCACCTGTTAGGGTCCCAGCTATGGGTAAATAGTTAATCTCGAAACTGAGGTAAAAAGCATTATAAAAGTGTAAAAATACCAGGAATACTTTGTAAAAATTATTACCAGAAACAAATATTAAGAAAAAAAAAATATTACCAGCAATACGTTTTTGGAAAAAAATATTACCAGCAATACGTTTTTGGAAAAAAATATTACCAGCAATACGTTTTTGGAAAAAAATATTACCAGCAATACATTTGTGAAAATAATATTGCCAGCTATACATTTTTGAGGAAAAAAATATTATCAAAAATAGATTTTTGACAAAACAAAAATATTACCAGGAAATAAAAAGTTGTCGGCATTAAATAACCCATTCAGGATGATATGTCGTAAAAAATAAAGATGACGAAAACAGTCCGAACAATATAAATAATGTAAATAATTGCAATGCTTCATCTCAGAAATATAGACAGATACTCATTAACCCCCTTACGTTTTCGTGGCTTTATTACCTTGCTTCGTAGGGAATGATTAAAAAACTCACAGAGTTTTAAAAATATATATATTGCTTTTACTTCTGTAGGATGATGGGTAAATCGAAGGCATTTCTTCATTGGTTTAATTCACTTCAAATTTAAGACACAATGGCGGAATGATAAAAAATGGTGACTCCCATTTTTAAGTATCAAAAACAGCTTCTTTTTTTTTTCATCATATCCATTCATCACATCTCTTCGGTGCCAAGTGTTCCTATTGTAATGAAAAAAAAATGCCTTCTTTATTTTTTTTAATCAGTTATAACAACAAATCTACTTGTTCTCTTTGTGACGTGCAAGAATTTGACCGCCTAAAGAGATGATATTTCGAACTTCAATTCCCA